CCTGTAATTAAAGATTTTTTGTATTATTATTAAGCAGCTAAAGGCACAAATCAGTTGTAAGAAGAAAAACATTTATGTTCTTTTTTTTTTTTTTTTATTAGGTGGAAAGTTTATTCAAGATTCCACCTAAATAAGAAGAGCACCACGTTAAAAGACTGGGTGTTTCTTACCTCTATGTTGTTGTTCATTAGCCCACAGGCATCAGCAAAGTCCGGATGTTTAGTGTTGATATAAGCTAACTCAATGGCCACCAAATTATGAACCTGGGGGAGAAATCATTCATAGTTAGATTTTATTAGGAAGTTTAGTGCTAGGAAAGGCTGATGAAGCTGACACTGAATAAGTACAGATAGCATGAGGTATAACCACAATGCCTTGCAGATATATATGATTTTCGATGAAGAAGGACAACTTGGCAAATAGGCACCTCATTCACTGCATCATATTCAACTCTTCAGTGATCTCAAAACCACCCACCACCCCACTCAAATGACACTATCTGGTATACTGAGCCACGAGAAGCTGGGGTGATGGCCTGCAGTACAATCCAGAACCCTAGGTCTCTGGTGGATATGGCAATCAGTGGCAGGAAGGTGGGCAAAGGCTGACATAGCCCTAATCACCATCTAGCCACTTTGCCTGTTACCACTGCCACAACCCTACCACCCTGGCCGCCAACCCCCACTGCATGCCTCTGGCTCCAGCATGGGACATGCAGCAAGGGCTGGAGCTGCTGCTACATGCTCCAAGTCAGAACCAGAGCTGGCAGTGCTGTTGCCACTTCCTCATGTCCTTGGCTGAATCTGACCCACATGGACACTCACAGTCCAAATGCAACCTGGGGCACAAGGTTACTCTAAACACCCCTGCACTAGACTGAATCAAGTCCCAGTTCACTTTGTACTGACCAGATGACATAAAGGTAACTAACTGTTAGTAACAAGCCCCGTGCATCGCACTTGAAACCGTAACCCACGCAGCTGTCTCAAAAGTTAAACATCTAGTGAAAACATCTAGTTCTGTAACAGCACAATGTTTTTGTATATTAATATCTGTTAACACAATTCTTTGTTACAATCACAACAAGTCAACAACTATCATATTTTTGAGCATGTCTTTAGGTAATCGCATCTAAGTGTATTCCAGGAACTGAAAGACACCTGCCTATGTACAAGTGATGAAAGTTTTGCAAAAATGCAATGCCACATTTTGCTACAGCATACATACTTCATAGTTAAGTTAAAGGAAAACAGCTATGTTTAGAAAGGATAAAATGTCTCTTCACTTCCAGACAACATGAAAAAAATTAAGCAATCACCATAGTGATACTAAAAGAATACAAGTTCAGAAACTGGAGATTTAAAGAAATACTCAAATAATCACCCAGTGTGTTTATCAAATGCTCCTAGCCAAGAAGCAGACACTAGTCTTTCATGTTGATGACACTTCAAGCTTTGACTGGTTCTCAGTTTAAACACATGCACACACTTTCATTTCTCTGCCAGCTGGATGGTGCAATATGCTGGATCAGTACTCTAAAACACCAGTTTCAGTGTCTGCATATATTAAGCAGCATTAGAAGAACAAATAGGGTTTGTAAGCTATTTTCAGCAGTACATTCATGATTGGAAAAGAAGAGCTACTGTGGTAAAAAGAAAAGGGGAACCCCAAATGGCACAAGACCAGAAGGAAAAGTTGCTGGTAAAACTTGAAGTTGTAAGGGGAGTGCAAAGGACAACAAGGAATAGCACAGGGAACATAAATCAAAAATGTTGGGCTCCTCTTTGAATAGTTTAACCTAAATATGGATTTAAGAAAATCATTAGGTCCTCCTCCTCTTGAAGATTTTAGTCTTTCCCAACATTTGTTAAAATTGAGGCGATTATATTGTAAATAAAAATATTAAGAAAAGGAAATTTCCACTATGAAACAACAATCTGCTAGAAGACAATACCAGGTGGTCAAGAAATAAAACTGAAAAAAGTTACCATTTCATTTGTAACAGGTAGCCTTTTACGCAGAAGACAGGTCACTACTTCTACTATGGCATCGTGTAGTTTGGGAAACCTCAGTAATTCCTGAAATACAAGGCAGTAAACCTTTAGGTAGCATCATTATATTGTTTTGAAAAAAAAAATTAAAGCAAAGCCTTAAAAACCATAATATTAGACTAGCAACAAACAATAGATCTTAATGGTAGAGTTACGATTAGGCTTTTTCTAGATATGGATCAACAGTGTAACAACAGGTAATATCAAGGAATGTTCCATTTGATAGTTAGCATTGTTAGTTGTTGTCCACAGAGATGCATTAAGGGCTGATTTGGAACACAGTTTGGATATGCTGAAATTTGAGATTATAGTATCCCGTTCAAATTGAGAGCGATCTGTGTGTGCAGAATATCCAAATGGGATATGAGCAAAATACTGGGCCTCAGGAAGCTCTATCAAATCTGTAACTATAGCTACAGTAGTTACAACCTTGTTCATGTCTCATTTCAAGAGTTGTTCCCCAATTCCTACTATTGAACTGCCTTCATGTCAAAGTTCTTTCCTACCACCAAAACAGAAATTTTCCTGTGCTCTCTACCATAAACCAAATGTTATTTTTCCTCCCTCCCATCTTAACTCAGAACATGAGAAATTTCAAACCAAAAATCTAACACAAAGTCAGATGGTTAAGTAAAGAAGAGACTTCAGAGGCCAGAATGTAGCATGAATTTCTAATAATGTGCTTAAATCTCCGACTTTAAAAAAAAGTAGAAATACAAGAATTTTGAAAGAAGACAACAGTAAACTGGCTTCCATTACTTTATGTATGACTATCCATTAATTTTAAAAAGTTCTTACATAACTTTTTTATTCATTCTGAACAAACAAAAAAAGTTCCCTACAGGAATAAGTGCTTTGGAAAGCAAGTTTGTAAAGTTTTTCCAAACAAAGTTTATTCCGCATATTCCTAAAATCTACACCTTGCTGTGAGTTAACATAACAAGGCTGAAGCATTGCCCTTGATGGTACCTAAGAAAGGACACTTGATGCCTGAAAGTTTGTCTAACAGCTCTAACTATACAGTTGGTCCAATAACAGATATCATTAAAATGCACTGATTCTCTTAACATACCAAAGAAAAAATGAATTTTCATGTAGACTATAATTTTTTTAAATACTGCATTTACCCAAATCCAAGACGACCTTGCCTTCCCCACCTGCCCTGCCCTGTGCCACTTTTGCTCCCCCACCCTACCCCACCATATCCTCAGGTCACCACCCCACTTTCTACATTGTCATCCACTCCCAAAGTCTCTATCCCCCACACCTTACCATAACCTTTACTCCAACACCAGGCAGGCTCCATCCCTGCTGTAACCTGGGGCATGGCCCCAGCCCCACTCTGTAGTGGTGGTGCAGAGCAGCATGGAAAGGAGACTGGGGGCAACAAGGGCCCAAAAGGAGTGGCAGGGAGTGCAGAGGCAGCAGGAGGCAGGCAGCAGCTGCAGCTCCAGCCCTGACCTGTGGTTGGGGTTAGGGCTAGAGCCACAGCAACTGCCTCCCCCCCAACCCCATACTTAATTCCAAGACAAGGGGCTTCTCCTCACGATCATGATAAAAGGGAAAAAACTCATCTTGGTATCAAGCAAATATGGTTGGTTTTTGCCTGGTCCCAAGAATATAGATTTAGATCAAATGTTATGACCACCTTGAATTTTCAGATTTAGCCTAAAATTTTCCACCTATAAAATCAACCTTTTTATTAATTTTGGTATTCAACAGCAGTAATGAAACTGCGTTCCTCTAACGTTGAGCCTCAACATTTTTATGACTAAACCCCAGCACTTAGTGGGCTCACATGTTAAAAGGCTTTGGATACAAACAGACATTTGCTTTTATCCCAGGATAAACCAATTTATCCTAGGACAAAGCTTAAATGTCCACTGTCCACTGTCTCGGGAATTGCAACGTACGCCTGAATGGTTATCCTGGGACTGTATTACTGAATCAATGACAGAAAAGCAGAAGCGCATTAGGCTGCTCACTAAATAAATATACACACATTTCTGCTTTGGGACAAAGCATAGGTACAATTTGTCCAGGAATAAAAACGCAACATCTATTCCTAGCTTTTGTGAATAAGATCTTTTGCATATTTCCAATGGAACTTACCTCTGGAGAGATGACTACAAACTGTTGCATGCTATTTTTATAGGTGAAAATTTTAAAAAGCTTTACTCGTGCCTACACTTTTAACACCTAACTTTTTTACAGCAAGTAAACAAGACAATTCATTTTTACTTGAAGTAAGGCTACTCATCATTTTCATATTTGTCATAAAACACTGGAACCAGCTTTTACAAGCTGAGGACTTTTTAAGAGGAAAAACTTGCAACTTTTCCCATCTTGTGTTGAAAATAAACAAACTAACTAATCATCAACCTCTGGGTTTACCTGCGTACTGTAATTGCTACAGTGCTGGATAATCCTCTGCATTTCCTCATGAACCAGCTCCACACAGCGCAAGCTAGGCTCCTCTAAACGTTTAATTTGCCTCTTCACCAACAGTTCAAATGAAACTTCAGGCACAAACAAGGCAGGGCGGGGGCCCTATCAAAAAGGAAAACAAAGTGTAGTTATACTGTATACTTTAGTAGCACACAAAATGTGCTAAGGGCTATACAGACCAGAAAGGGACATTTCTTAAGCAAATCACATCTTACTCTCAACCTCTTTTTGCATGTTGTGTGAAATATATTTATATTTATAAGGAACAACGGAAAAACCTATTCGAAGAATGTTAAGTTATCCAAAACATTACAAATCCAGGAAAGATAAACATTAAGTTTATATTTAAAAGAAAACCAAAGCATGTTCAGTAAGTAATGCACATTAATGCACCTTACCAACTGTAAACATTTCACTAGGCCTGTAACGCCTGGAATAACTACAACACACTTCCCATTCAGTTACTGATAAATGCATTCAACTAATTCCTTCCTGACACTTTATGAATGGAAAAGTTTTTAGGTTTACTGTTTTAATACATAAACACTGAACACATACCCCCTACCATGCAATGCTTTTACTGAATGAATATAAAGTATGAGCTTTAAATAATCCTTTTGGTAATTTAATTTGCAAGAACAGATTCATGCATTAGAGTGGCACACAGCAGCCAGGGGTGATTATAGCCCATTAGCAAGCAGCTGATTTACTGCTTTAAAGGGCTACATTGGCCAAACTAAAATTACATAAACAGGAGCAAGTAAGAATCCATTTCCACTCACTGCTATAAAGGGCTCCTCACAAAGTCCTAGATCAGTCATGCCCTGGGAAAATTTCAAGTACTTAAATGCCCAATCTACCATGTGATCACTGAACCTTTAGAAGGGCAGCAACAATTTTGTCAATAATCTACAAATGAACACTCTTTAACATATCTGTTCCCTTCATGCTAAATCATTATAACCAACAGCAGTGTTTCATGCAAATGAACTGCAGAGGAAGGATAATAATTAGCTACCTCCCACTCTCAAATACCTCTCTTAAAAGGCAAATTAGTCAGTTTATAGCCCATATACTTGGTGCTCAAACTTTTTGTCCAGTAGGCCAGATGGGCAGTACCTGTCCCCTCCATGGACTGAATCTGACTGATGAATGCAATCTAACATCCAGGACAGGTGCAGTGGGCCCCCATCCAGCTGTGTGAAGGGGGTGGGGGGGAGTACCTCAGCACCAAGCCAGCAAGGCAGGGGAAGGGAGTATAGCCGAGCCCCAACAGAGGCGGGGGGGATGACCCAGCCCCAAGGTGGGAGGGGGCATAGCCCGACTTCAATCTGGCTGGGTAAAAGGAAGGCGGGCATGGACCAGTCACGTAGGAGAGACGGGGGTGTAGCCCAGCCACAACTTAGCTGGGTGGAGGGAAGAGGGTGCATGGTCCAGACCCAGGTGGGGGTGGGGGGGAGAGAGAATAGGCTGATCCTGAGCTGTGCAGAGGGAATAGGGCAGGGCAAGCCCCACTCTGGCCATGCCAGAGGAGGGTCATGGCCCTACTGCAATCCACTAAATAGGATTTGGGAGTTTATCAGTGGGGAAGGATGGCAGTATATGCTGCCACTGCAGCCCCACCACCAAATTTCCTGACACATGGGGAATTCCGGGGGCTGGATGCCAAGGCTCTGCAGGTTGCATCTGGCCCATGGGTTGGAGTTTGAGCACCCCCGGCCTACATACTTGCATCTACCTGTTAAATCATTATGATTATGAATTACATTAATTTCAATATGATTCTCTTCACCTTATAGTCTATGCTAAATATTTCAATTTAAAACAGATGGATGGACTCTTAAATGCAAGTTACTCCATTCTTAAGGTCAGATAAACCAAAAGACTGATGCTTTTACACGTCTTGAAGGATCCAATTTTAATTTTTTTTAAACTTGAGAGATTAAGAGGTACACTCTCAGAAAATTCAATTCACACTTGGTAAGGACTAAAAATTGGAGAGGATACAATATTCTGTATGAAAACCACAGAAGCTGAATCCCTAGTTTAAATGTAAATTCTTCCATTAAAACCACTATTCCCATAACACAGACAGAAACCAAAACAACTGGTTTTTAACCACAGTTCAAATCCAGAGAGGGTAGTAAACATTAAGAAAGCCAGCATACTACTACTTACTGTAGCATTTCTAATGGCAGTCAGAATATCAATAGTATTAAGGCCACCTAAAGGGTCAACAGATTCTAATGTTCGCCCAAAGGTCTCATGAAAAATATAGCAGATTCTGGCTCCACCACACCTGAAAAGTAAAAAAAGAAATCAAGATGGAAATTAAAGAGGAAGTAGTAAACTGCTGTTTTTCTGTGTTTAAGAATATTTTACACTACCATAAAGGTTTTAAAAGCACTGTGCTCTGCTTTTCTGCTACTGAAGTTTTAATGCAACATGATCCGGGTCAACTATCCAAATCAGAATTCTAGGGAACCATTTCATACTTACAGCTCAGAAGTTTCTATGTATTTTGCTGTTCCTTCAATAGTGTTGCAATATTCAGTGGCAAATTTGGTAATAAGCTGTAATAAAGTGGCGCTCTTGTCCTCCACAGGCTCTCCATAGCTATTCAGCAGAGACTGGTACTGAGCAGCTAAAACATTTATCCTAGTTTTCAATTCTGGCAAGCAATCCCTGATATGATGCATTAGTAACCTAAAAACATGGAGAGGATAAATTCCTGTCAGAAGGGGGAAGAAGAGATCATTTTTATGTTATCTCCACCATAATTTATAGGAGAAACAAGCATGAACAAGCAAAAATAACCTTGTACAATAAAAGGAAGCCATTCACTCAGAAAGACCACAGTAACATCAGAAACTGAAATACTGAAGCAAAAAAAAGGAGGCCTCCCTGTTTAATTATACAACAGCAGCTAGGAAAGTATATTAACATACACATTCATTTTAACACAAAATTGTATACGTTACTACCATGTATAAAATGTTATATATGCTACTAATACTGCCTTACATTTAAAAAAAAAAATCACTGTTTTACACATTTTGCATAACAAGTAATTATCTGAGATACCTGTTCAATGTTCTAGCAAGATATTTTGTTCCATTTCGGTTGGCTAGAGACGGATACTTCTTTTGAAGAAAACCATATTCATCCCGGATAGAATCACCTACACTTTTCTTATTGTTGATATCTAATTGGCTCCTAGAGTTGGATAAGATTATTAGCTAATCAATAAGTATAAAATTAAATTAATGTTTGCTTCTATTTTTCTTGATAGGACAACAAACATCTACATCAACAAAAATCTACAGATAGGACAACAAACATCAAAATTAGCCCACTATCCCAGAATTCCTCTTCTATAACAGCATGTAACAAGATATGGAAAACATTTTCTTATGGCTATGAAAGTAGTTGTAACATGTTGAGGGCAAACAGATGACACTGTATTTAAAGATGCTACGAAGGTTGCTCCACGGACTGACTTACTCACTTCACAGCAATATAGTATGGGAAGCAGCCATACAGTACACTAAGCAACCAGCTTCTACATCACTTTTGACATGGACAACTGAAAGGATGAGGGAGAAGGGTAGCAAGCTTCTGAAACCAGGCTCCTTCATAGCAGTCAACACTTTATAACTGGGTCAGCTTTTGTATGCGTTTCTTTAACTAAATGCAAATTTGACTCTAAAATCTGCAAATATTTTAATCTAAAACCCACATCTATATGCATGAAAAAAACCAATGAATTCCTTTAGTTTTTTTAAAAGAATATTTAAATGTGCCAATTCCCAATTATACGTACCTGTTTACCACCCCAATTATCCCAAGTTTAACTGGAATCACGCGTCCCATAAGTACATCCATGGCATCAGTGCCAGCATCCATTAGATCAAGTTTTGTGATAACAGCAAGGGTTCTTCGACCTATCCAAACAACAGGAAAGCCATCGTTTACTAGAAGTTTATCAGTCAGTCTATTCAGTTCAGGAAGAATCAGCAAATACCGATTTTCTCCTGAGGAACAGTACTACTAACATAGGCTCAATCAGTTCCTGAAGAACATCATCGTATGTTTCCCACCTCCCCCCAAGGAAAACAGGAACTTTATACTTAAGCACTGAACAGCATCTAGACCCAAATTTGGAAAGACGTATATCCCATAATTTCAGAGATGTAAATTTCAAAGAATATTTTTGAAGTCCAAGACTATTCTGGGGCTATAACAGTGACCAGTAAACTAGGAAGGATTTGAGTGGCTAGGTACTTAAATGAAAGGCTAGTAGAGACAATTCAGGTTATGTCATGTCATGATGCATTCATTCACTTTCTACAGGACTATAATACACTGGAATCTTAGAGCAAAGATAACTGAGACAGGGCTCCTGAAAGCACCTTTTACATATGACCACAGATCAGAATCCTAACCACAAACAGGAAGGACTTTCTGCAGTTTTTTGCGCAAATAATGGTGTCTGAAAAGGACGGGGCCTACATTTTCACAGGTGTAGACCAGCAACCTGGTCACTAAGCCTCAGATTTTAAGGCTGGGAATTCTGGAAAGTAATCCTACAGTCAAGATCAATCACAGGTACAAGAAAGGAAATAAAAAGCAAGGTCTGTTGCTGTGAGCCAGGTTGATCGGACTGAGCAAAGACACAGAGGATGTTTTCTATGAGGCTTGAAAGCGTCACCAGCAAGTGGAGCCTATGAAGAGCTTAATTTGTAGAGGCCCACGAAGAAAAAAAATCCAGTGCACAATGCCACTTGAAAAGAAAAAAAAAAAATCCATGCACTGCAGGGAGAAAGACCTTGAATTTCCTCACCAAAAACACAAGTAATAAATATGTTTAATAAATGAGAACTCCAGAACCTGAAAAAGAAGGTAGACATAACTTTGCCTTGAACTTCAACAATATGTTGGAGATTTAGAGGGGCCATGCAGAAGAATGGGACCCCTCGGCACACGAGGTATACTGCCTACCTGGAGCG